CCCGCCCGCGCACCTATGCTGCTTTTGGAGCGCAACATTGCAAAAGCGTGGCGGGGCATAACTGCCCGATTCTATTGCCGCTTGGACGCTGCTGTTTTAAAAACGATGCGAAAGTTAACACTAAAAGGCACCACAATAAATATCAATTTATATTATAAATGGATACATTTCATAAACCACAAATTCGCGTGTAGTGCATAATTCAGTGTCAACTAACTGTTTACCACAATTTAACTGCAAAATATAATAAATGATAAGTCATCATTCGTTACGTTACATTTACACACTAAATGTATTTGCTTATTTATATAGCTACCGACTAATACATGGTAGTAGTTAGCAGATGATGTTCTCTTTGTAATATCTTCAAGAATAAATTATTTGTAGTATTATTACTTTATATTTGCCTTTAATAAACATGACACATTCCAGGCTTGACAATTTTAAGTTTGTCCAAACACATTTGTAAATAAGCCCAGTGGCCAGTACGTATAAATTACAAAATGTTAATCCGTAATTACCATTGTCATTGTAAACCTTAGTTTGAACATCTCCGTCTACGATACGTTACTATCATTTTGATATATGTAATAAAGTATTTCACATCATCGCCGTTATCCATCATCATTTATTGGTAATGTTTTGTACATTACTTTATCACCATTATCATGTAATGCCTTTTCTCATTACATTATGGCGTATTGTACTCGCCATGAAATTAAACAATTTCGTAGCACTATACAAAATTGTTTCTGTCACTATATGCACATTATATGTTATAGGAATAGCTAAAAGGCTGATACGCAACCTATTGATAAATAGCAATTAGTCGCCTACATGAACAGCACAACAGACACCATGTTTTCATGAATGGCCCCTGTACTGTGAACTCCTGTGAACTTGGCACACGATATTCAAAAATCGACTTTTTTTTTTTTAAGATTCTGACATCCTTTTGAATATTTCTAGAGTTCTTTATAATCATTTTAAATAGTTCCGATGTTTAAATTAAAAAAACAACAAATTTAAAAATTTCACGCAGCGCACGAAATCACGAACATCACAAATTTCTTCGGTGTTCTAGCTTGCTTTACAATAGTTCTACAGTTCTCTATCAGTTATATCAATAGTTCTAGCGATTAAAACGCAAAAATTGATTTTTGCAGTTTCGCCGCGTCCCAATTATAATTCATATAAGAAAAGAGCAATTTCCGACGCGAGTTCTAGCCGATCTGATAATAGTTCTGGGCAGCTTTCTCCGAGTTCTACAGAAAAGCTTCATAACTTTTTCCTGGAAAAGAATTATTTTGCAAGTTATTGCAAAATATAAATATACAAAAAAAAAATTACGAGTTCTAGCCGATCTGATCGGAGTTCTGGGTAGCGCTACCTGAGTTCTATCGAAAAGTCTAGTAACTTTTTCCTGTGAAATAATTATTTTCCAAATTATCGATTTTTAACTTTAAAACGTTAAATTTTTGTTTTATCTAGGAACTATTTAAAAAGTGATTTTTCCTGTGAAATAATTATTTTCCGATTTTTTAAAATTAAATATCGGAACTATTTAAAATGATTATAAAGAACTCTAGAACTATTCAAAAGGATGTCAAAACTCTTAATAAAAAAATCGATTTTTGAATATCGTGTGCCAAGTTCACAGGAGTGAACTAACATGATATGCCTCTAATCCGGTAATTTCACTGCCTCGCCCTTTAACAGAAACATATATTACAGAGTAACCAGCTTAGCAGCTGAAATAGGCAAGACTGAGTTATTCACACGGACGACTTTTCTTCACGCAGTCTAGTCTACCTTTAACATTACTATTCAACATTACTGTCATCTATAAGTAAATACAGCTACTAGCAATGTCTGCAAACTAAAAATATAACAAAACCTCACAAAAGAATCACAAAGAAGTATAGCGACCAAGCCAATTATCACATTCAAAAATAAAATTTTTTTTTACATATACTTAATAAGTAATTTATGGGAAGACGCATTAAAGTTTACAATATGATATCACAATATATTTTAGATCTACCTTTTACAATTCCATTATTTTTATTACGAATTACTACTTACTTGAATTACTTAAATAAAGGCTATTGATCTGCCTTTTACAATTCCATTGTTTTTATTACGAATTTCTACTTAATTGAATAAAGGCTATTACTCAATATACGATTATTTAAGAAACGACCTAGCCTAGCGTTAGTTGATCAGACAAGCAATTTTCGATATTTTTAATATGTTACAAATATACACTATTGAACGCTATTATTTTCAAAGATAGATATTGATTATTATTATTAAGTATAATAATAACCGATTGATTCAGTTGATTAACTAAATTTTAAGATTAAATTTAAGATTCTAGCTAGCAGAATTGCACTAGTATTAAAAAAATTACACGCCGCCGAAAGATTAATATTATGAATTTGAAAATCTTACCATTAAATTTAAAACAATTTAACTATATCACATCGATACTTTGCCAGCATAAGTTAAATATCTAAAAAATATTAATTACCCATTATATCTTATGGATGTTAGTAATATTTGAAATTAATAAAAGACTATGAATCCTTTTGTCAATGCAGTCAAATATCTCGTATTTTTGAACTCACTCAGTGTTTCATGTGTATTAGGATATGTAAATAAACGAACTTACGTAGGTATGTAATTTCACGATATCCTCTTCCATAATTGCGACAGAACCTAGTTATACGACATAATAAAGCATTAAGTCAATACTCAGACGACGCGCAACGTGTGTGATTTATCTCTCATTATAGTAGAATCTTCCTGTTATACAAAGTTTCAAATCTTTGTTTGTGTAATTTTTCATTATGAGTTTAGGATATTTAACTTAAATGCAAGACAAAGTAGGCCGACAATACTGTTCCCATTTTTTTTCAGGACTTATTTTCGCCACTGTGTCCCACTGCACTAGTTTTTATTTTACTGATGATCATCGAATCGCGCCTGCGCTAACAGTATGTTGTGAGTTGTTGAGGCACCAGTGGAAGACAAGAATTATGTCAGGTCAGCTCAGTTAGCTCACCATGGCATACACAATCCAAGAGGGACACGGGAGTATTGGCACCTAACATGAATGTATGAATGTGAACCATCCTAATTATAGCCAATTCATGATGACTTCGTCACGTATCAAGAGGCCTGATATTTTAGTCCTAAATATTAACAATATGTATTGTATGTACACAAATACATACAAATTATGAGTAATAATTTGGTAATATTGAAAATTGTTCATTTACTATGGAGTCTACAGTAATGAAAACTTTTTACTCAGCATGAAGCAATGGATAGTGTACAACTGTACATAGATTCATTAATTTTAGCATAAACGAATATATCGGATTTCTCATATGTATAATTATTTATAATTATATGAATACTTTTCAATGGGAATATTATAGCCCAAGATGTATTTTATTTTATATCAAAAAGTTAGTAATCAAATGATTGGTGAAAAATTATATAATTTGTTTTTAGAAGATACTATAATAACAAAATAAGCTCTTATTTATGTTCGTAGTCAAAAACGTAAAACTCAGCAATTATGGTGCGACTTTCTTGGTCTCTACGTCCGTCTGACACTGCGCTATATGTCAGATTAGACAAACTTGAAATTTAAAATACTTCTAGATGATGTTGGTTCAACTTTAATAAAAAATCTTGTAAAAATAAATGCATATTTTTACAAGAGGATCAAAAGCAAGGACTAGTATTAGTGCCATTGGTGAATTTGATATTCATCATATACCTGAAACTGTAATATATCGACTAACACACAAATAAAATTACCATTTTACAATATTTTTGCGTAACCTTGAGTTTGTAAGCCTTACACTTTACGGTTAAAAACCACTGCTTACTGTTATTGGTTTTTATAATAATGAATAGATATAAATAAACGATAGAACTAGGAATTTTATTTAACATGGTACTGTATTAAGTTGCACTACTTAACGTTGCACACTATTAAATAGTGGCTTGGTACAGGCTAAGATTACAATCTCAATGGCTTAATTTAAGCACAGTCAAATTGAGGTAATTACAAAAAGCATGATTAAAAATTTTCGTATTAAGTACTGATTCATAGCCATTCTACATATAAAATTAAGGGTGTGCTAGATATCAACTTAATTATTTGTTGATTAAAATAAACATTAGTACCAATTTATTATGTTATGTACAACAATAAGTGATAGTGTGGAGTAAGTAGATATGAAATGAATTCGATATAAGTATTACGTTGGGTAATAGGTATATACGTAATACTGTATTTTATAAATAGGAAGGTAGATAATTGTAAACAGCCTATTAAACCAAGACGTCCACTTGTTATCGATTTTAAATTACATTTGACTTTAAAAAATTAAAGATAATAGGCATATCAATATTTGGCTAGTTAAACATGTACACAATCACAAACCCTACAACCAGGCAGTAGAGCAGAAATAAAATTTAATCAATCCGCATATTATTGACACGCCTACGCTTCACCACTATACAAGTCAGTTACTTCTGTGAAAAGCGACTTGTCTTGGCCATTGCGACGTTGCAAGATGTCGTCATTGACATGCCGTGTCGACCGCCGCCCGGCGAGGCGAGGTACGTGTGTAGGTAGTCAACGGAAGGAGACGCAGCTCGACGACGCTTGGTACAATGCTTTGTTTATTTTACAATTACAGTATTCATAACAGCAGTAGGGTAGAAGATGCAAACATTAAGGTTTCTCATACGCTGTAGACTAAATTATAGGAAAATATCAGTCTTTCAACACAGGTTTAGACAAACACATACATAATAACAAGCACTGAAATTATACACAAAACAGACTTTGATCTGGTCTCTTTTCGGTACATCTTATTATTATGTTGTAAATAATGTACAATATAGTTATACAAATAAGTCTGAATACGACGAAAATATCCCTGAAATAGAATTAAAAACAAACAATATATTACCGTTTGAAGTGCTCCCTTATTCGGTCTTCACGAATGTTATCGGGTAAGTTTCCAACCCACAGATGCCGAGTCTCTCTAACCATCTTGCTTCAAACTCCACATTAGGAATCATTACCCGTTTGCGTCACTACGTGGCAAAAATCAATTTTGCACAAAACGGTGCTTCGCACATTTTGAACAATCACTTGAATTTTAACATTACCATTGTTTTGGACACTTAAGTTACACTTCGTCATAAAAACAACACTATCTTTCACTTCACGACATTCGATAATCTCATCACAAAATCCACTTCACTATAAACACACCACGTAATAGACGCGAGCGTACTCTTCGCAGCTCTCGAATTGACAGTGAAGCTAGCCTCGACGCGAGTTTGCCGATAAGCCCCGCCTTCTGACCGCTGCCGCGCAAAGTGGAGTAGGGTGGCCAGCAACTATTTAAAAAATATCTTTTAATGTTTTCTTCACAAAATTTTAAAGATTTAACAAAGATTTTTGGCATACTTTAAAAGACAGTTATTTTTTATAGTTGATTGCAGACGCTATTTTTGTACGGGAATTGTTGTTAAACACCAGATATTTCATATTTGTTTAATACTTTATGCATTTTATTTGCATTTTTAAACAAATACCAGATTGTTTTGTTAATAGATAATAAACAATTGCACAAAACTCGCCTAGAAAACAATCAGTAGATATGTAATATGACGGTCCGCTGGCCAGCTCACCCTAATAGTTGTCTGTCTCTTTCATATTTTCATGTTTGTATCTCACTTTAACTTATGGCATAACGTTGTCAGTGTTGCAGTAAAATAAAAATACCCGTAGTGTATGTAAATAATATATATTATATAATATGGAACTGATATTTAAATTTCGAATGACTTTTTAATTCATATTAATTATTAAACACTCTATTTTTAGAAAATTAAATATAAGTAAAAGTGTAACTTGTACTCTAAAAGTGTAAAATTATGTGATGGTGATTTGATACTTCTTATAACTCATTCCTATTAAGTATAGTTTTTTTAGTTACTATTATAACTAAGAAAAAACGATACTTCATGTATAAAAAACGATAATCTTATATCTAATATCGTACTTAATTGACTTTTAATTAGGTATATTCCTCTAATACAAATACACCAGAGATGATTTGGAAACAGGACTTTTAACCGTACTGTCAAGTACGGTTAAATGTCCAAGTTGCTATGGTACCCAAAGAGTTATCCTATATTGTCAGCTATTATTTTTAATAAAGTATTTAGAAATTGCACTTTTGGTTTAGCAATAAAGAACGTCTCATTTATATACTAATATTATAAAAAGGTAGGTAGTTTGTATGCTTGCTTGTTCAGGGTAATCTCCGGTTCTGCTGATTCGATTTCAAAATTTTTTACTGTTAGAAGGGTATTTATTCCCGAGTGCTATAGTGTATATAACATCATGCTACAACCAATAAGATAAGAGTAGCAATAAAAAATGAGGCAAAGCTATTTATTTTGAGTGCTTCCGCTGCATGCGTTGCGTAAAAGTTACACAAAATATATGGAATTGATCTCTTCTTGGACTTTGGAGGTTGCGACAATATATGTTTACCTTTTATGCTACTTAGCCGCTTCCCCTGCCACTCGCGCTGCCAGTCCTTAAACTCGCACACGAGAAACTGACAATCGAGTGAGCGCCGGGCAGCGCGAATGGCAGCGCCACTGGCATAGAAAGTATCGTATTTACACTCTCGCGCTGCTCACTTCCGTGCATATAATATAATACATTATTTATCCAAATGATATTATATAAGATATTTAATTTTATTAACGAAATTAAATTAATTTTCAACAAAATTGTCCTTTACATCATTTAATTTCAAGGTACACTTTAGGAGATATCTTAGTTTTAATAAAAGAACTTACTGATTGGCGAAATGACATATCGACGCAGTCTTAGAGAATATTAGTGCATACTTTCACACACGCCAAAAGACAGTTTAAAAGTAAAAAAAAAATATTGGACCCATGCGAAGTCGGGTTACTAGTTTTAGATATAATATTATAATTAATTTTTAAGTTTATTTATATTTTGTTTTATTGCTTTCTATATTTCTATTGTATATATTAATAGAGGTGAAATGATGATTAATTTTCTTGCTCTTCTGATGATTTTGGTAATACATCAAGTCTCAATTCTTCCCTTTCTAACGGACAAAATACAGACTATTTTTGCTAATCACTCCAAATACATAGCAAATACACTTCGGCATATCAATGCTCAGAGCATATCAGCTCCAAATTTCGATATTCTCACATCTGTCACTGCAATTCTATTTTATCTATCTGTAACAATTTTTCACAGAAAATTGCTAATGAGTGTTTTGTACAGTCCAAATGATAAAATCCATTATTTTAATACATTGGAGATTATTGTTAAAACCTTAGTACCACGGTTGGATCATGTAATTGTGATGAATGATCTAAATATATGTGTTTTGAAAAATGATTTTAGTACTGGAAAATGATTTTACTAGTAGTAAGCTTATGGGATTGACATTTGACCTTAAACCTTATTAAAGTCTTCACATATCCATTCTTACCGTACTCTCCAAAGCTCTTAAATCTGTTATTTGCAGTCAACTTTAAAACATATTCTTCCAATAACCCGATATGTTCTTTCCGGTCAGGATTCGACCCCTCCCGCAGTCGAAATCTAAATTGACTATTATTATATTATCGGACTTCAGATGTGCATTCAATTCTATTGATTTCTAGATTCTCCCTGCTCACACTTCTATTTCTATTTTAGAATGATTCATTTATTTTATTTTGGGTCGCCGGTAATGCGTTACAATAGCAGCTTTAAACAGTTATCTTGTGGCAATTAAAAAATATTTTTTTTGAGTTGAAGAAAATCATTCGTTCCTTACCCGCCCCGGGTTAAACGGGGGATGTAAACGGGTGTTGTAAGACTCCTACTCATTAAAAATCCAAGGTATTCCGATAAATCGCCTAGTCACGAGATCGCGATGTTAGTGCACCGTGACTCCGACGGCGTCGGCGTCGAAGGCTCCCTGTCTTTCAGAAGGCGCACGGGGTACGCGCGCCAACTTTTCGGGTATTTCTGGAAGGCGGGACCGCCTCCGCGCCTTAATGGTCCTGGTCCCTCGGATTTCTGTAGATGGAGTCAGCCTTTTTAGGCCGTGTCTATCCTAGTCGGATGGCTCTCGCAGTTAGGGGCTTGGGGGCCTCTCGGAGTTAGAGGCTTTAGAACTGCAGTAAGTTTTATACTAGAACGCGTATCTAAATCTAAATCTAAATGTGCACTAGTAAATTCCTACCAGATATGTCTTGGGCAGGGAGAGAAACAACAACGGTGAAGGCGAGTGCTGACGTACGTTGGCCCTTAGACCTACACGCGTGTCTCAAGTCTCAAGAACTGCTCGGAATTCCCTCTGAACACGGTGAATCCATGGAATGTTAAGATGTTAATTACACACAAAATTACTGTATAGTATAGTTGGCCCTTAACTTAGAAATAATGCAGAACACAAATATAAAAAATTACATTACCTAAGGGCATTGTCACAATGTAAAGAATTTGATATTCAGAGGAGCAATATTTTATTTATAGATATCTCACAATTATGTGCTTAGATCTCCTGTCCATAATACCTTTATTAATTAAATAAATGGCAGATTATCTTTATAAAATATTGTAGTAATTTCTTTTTAACTTCTAAAAACTAAATTTGTGAAGTATTAAACTTCCCAAATTAAGTTTTTTAGATAAATTAATTCACAGCAACAGTCAACACCTGCAACATAGATATGTGTTCAGACTGAGATGAGGACATCGCAAATATGGGCTGTTACCTCAAACACAATGTAGTAAAACATCACATACACACAGAAAAATGATGTAGCCCGTTGTGTCCTTTTTGTTATATGGATTATTTGCATAATCGGTATCATAAGTTTCTAAATGTAAATTATGATACTTTTATTGACGGCCTCGGTGGTCTAGCGGTTTAGCACGCCGCCTTACTTCCGACGGTAGCGGGTTCGATTCCTCACTCGGCACAATCATATGTATTGATGAGTATGATTGTCTGTATCAGCCTGGGTGTTTTCTATGTATAATATGTATGTGTTTACAAAAAAAATTCATCAGTTGTCTAGTACCCATAACACAAGTTTTAGATAGGTTGACTTGGGTTTAGATGGCGCTGTGTGAATTGTCGTGAGATTATTATTATTATAAAATTTATAACTTAAAACTAAAAAACATAAGTATTATTTGCTTTCAACTTTCTATGCTTATACCGGGACCATAAATGTAATTTATGTTCACAATAATGTAAATATTTAACTATAATAAAGAACGTGGTTTTAGCTTCAGATATGCCTGTGTCTTGTCTTTCGATAAATAAAATAAAGTTAAATATCATACATCAATTCGTTTCAGCCAATCAGCTAAACAAATCCTTATTTATATTCTGTTTCTTATCTTTTTTTTTTCTCTTGTGGTATGGCATTCACCCCGATTTTAGGGTAAAAAACAAAACGGGGAAACGTCATTAATTTATATCTAGCAACGAAAATTTTGTAGAATAGGGATAAGGATTAGGTTAGGAAATTATATAGGATACGATATTTACAAATAATATACATACAATACGGAACACATTATATAAAATTTTAATACTATTTAAATATATAAATTCAGCTAAAATTTTATAAATAATAGGATCATTGGAAAAAAGAATAGTAGTAATAGAGGTAGGGAAAGGGATACGGATGGATCTGAGATGTTTTAAAAAGGAGGAGTGATCAAGATCCGGACATGAGAAAAAAATGTGATTTAGATCAGCCACTTCAGTACCGCAGGTACAACAGGAACTTTCTACAATACCAAGTTTATAAAGGTGAGATGGTGTGCACACGTGACCAAAACGCATACGAGATAATATAGTTGTCGCGGTCTTCCCGAGCTTTATCCCACAAAACCAGGGCTTTATAGGAATGTCGGGTTGTACCTGACAGTAAAGGTTTCCTTTCGTTTTACTACTGTTCTGCCAATATTCCTTCCAAGATTTATTAAGATACAACTTTGGAAGACACGCTTGGTCATTGTAATAGTTTTTATAAGGAAACATATCTCCACAAAGCACAGCTTCCTTAGCAATTTGGTCTGCCCTATTATTTCCTGGAATACCAGAATGTCCCGGTAGCCAAGCAAAAAAAAACGGAATATTCTTTTAATGTACAATGTTGAAGTTTTTCTCAAATATCTTAAATAATAGAATGAAGTGATTTCGATTTTAAAGGATA